TCAGTTCTCGCGGAAATTCAGTGTCCGAGGTCTCTGTGAATGAAGCAGTTTAATGTCGGCATGCCAACCAACTACATACGTCCACGCATGGCCGCCACACCAGAGCAGACATTACTGGAAAGTCACGACACATCACCTGAACCAGCACAACTTGTGAAACCGGTCGTCTCAGAATCCAGTGACTATGGCAACACCCGATGCATCAATCGATTGCTCAGAATCAGAAGCTTCATCACTGAAGAAGACCACACCGCTCAAAGAACGCCCACAACGCAACCGCGGACCGCCGAGACGACTTATGCCACATTTGAAGACCTATATGTAGACAAAGTAACTTACCTATTGTTAAGATGAATGTTGTCGTTATTGTATATTAAACACTCCCACCATTGCATCTTAGGGGGGAGGTGTTGTGGTAGACCGCTCAATGCTTATGAGGTCACTGTCCTGAGGGATAATATGAGTGGTTGTTTACACGGTCAATGTCCTAAGTGATAATATGAGTGGTTGTTTACACCCATAGTGTTATGCAGTGATAGGTCTTCTTGGGTCTATAAAAGACCCTCTGTGCGGTGTGTTGTCAATTGTCGTCGTGTGCTCTAATAAAGCACTCTCGCCCGAAGTCGCAACATGTAACAGCTCGAAAAGTAGAATGGATCAAATGACAGCACGTCGAAAAGGGCCTTCAGACCAGATCTTGGTCTTGATTTTGAAATCCATACATATCTGCTGAAACCATCAAAAACGCTTTGCAGTAGTTATGCCAAGCAAAAGCTTTAACTGTACTCAAAACAAAGTGATCACAATGGCGAAGAACTTTCCTCCAACCAGCCAGTTTCCATAACAAACTGACGTTTAAAGCAGTCGTCATACCGATTTCCTATTTCCGATTTGCTGGCTTTGAAATCCGGTTACCAGTCAGTATTAATTCCCTCACCTTTCTTTTCATCGTCGCTAATTATTCCAACGTAGTCTTCCACGAACAGAGTATTTGCAAGAATCACTGACGCAATACTAATAGCACACCTTCGAATGAAGCTCTACATTAGTAAGTGTCAATTTCAAATGGAATATGACGATTCAAGAAGAACTGACATAAAGAATGCTGCAGAAGTGTACATGTTGAAGATCACTGGCCCTATGGAAAACCCGCTGCTTCCCAACGCAACGAAGCAGATCTGAATTGATATTGACTGAATTTCAGTCTTTGGACGAA